TGATTAAATAAAAAATTTTTAATGTTAACGTGTTTTACGACTAACCGTTAAAATCATGTGTTAATTTTTACGCCTAACAGCTAAATCTTTTTGGCCGTTCTACGTACGGCTCATGGTTCCCTCTATTGAGATCCTTATAAAGGGGAGTAGGTTAGCCCGAAAAAGAGTTTCAGACGCACAAAAGACCAGATCCTTGCGTGCTGCCTCGTAACCATGTAAATATCTAAGCTTCGGGCAATCTGGAAAATTATCAGTTGCGTCAAAAAGCAATGTTTGTTAAAAAAACCCGATTTTTGGTGGTTTTCCCGCCATCTTCTTCGCTTATTTGTTGCCATGACATCATCACACATATCACGTGACTTTCGCTCTGGTAGTCCTTGTCTGTACAAAATAGAGCGAGTCCGTGGAGCGATAAATAGGTTTCGCTGTTCTTTAAGTTTTTCTGCGGATTCTTGAATTTCACACGTTTCAGTTTTGTTTCCTGGAATGACAATTGGTTCAAGGATGTCTTACGACGCCTCTTACGTGAAGGCTAGAAAGAAGTAAGTGGAATTTAATGCATCGAGTACTAGTTAGTCTCGGCAGTGCTATAATGTAATTAAAATCCTCTAGCCTTTGCGTAACATTGCCCAGATTAGATCAAAAGCTTTTATTCCTACGAGCTTACAGGATCATTAGGCATCACTGTTGAAAATACGACATTGTTAAATTTAATTTTTGGCTTGCAAACTTGATTTTACTCACCTTTATCACTATTGCTGTTGTCTTCTATCATTTTACGTCAGATTTTCAGTTTTATTAAAATCCGACAAATTGGGCAAATTTTATATCTGGAAGTTAAGATTCGCTTTTCGATGATCAATTCGTGTAGTTCTTATCAATCAATGAGGCCCTTCGATATTGAATAACTGCATCTGATCTCTGGTAAATGTTGTTGGCAGTTTCTTGTGTTGTAGACCAATTTATTTATATTACTTACTGCATGAAATGTTATCATGGACATTTCGTGTAGCGTGCATGAGAAACTCGATTGTTTGTTACCAAAATTTCTTTAGGTTTTAGTTGGCAATTGAAATGTTATGTATTTTCTCTTAGTTCTTGTTTAAAATGTGTCATCGATTATTTATTTTATTTTATTTTAATCACTTTCACCAGAGATTAAAATGAATGTGGAGTGTATTCAATGAACCTAGTCTAAAATCTCATCCTTGGAAGTTTTTATGGCAACAACGATTTTCCGTTGACTGCCAGGAAAAAAAGAAGGCATAAAATGTGATTTGTGACAACAGTCAAGCCAGAATTTAGGAATTATAGAGGTTTCAACTTCAATCTTCCTTTCCTTTGAAGGGTTCACCTACTTTAGAAATAATGCACCCAATCATCTCAAAAATCTCTAACATGGACTGTCAAGCTAATGAGCTACTGAACCATTAACTGATATTAATATATACTAAAACAGTGGATAGCGTTGAAGGCACGCTCTGATTGGCTAGTCAAACTCCAAATATCCTTTGCTATTTACCTCTGAGCAACTTGAGAAAAAATGGCGTCCTGGTTTGCATCCGTGGCGAAGAAATCACTCAAATTAACGACATGGTGTATATTATCTCACTGTTTTAGTATATACTAAAACAACTGTTCAACTCAGTGTCGGTGGTTAACGGTTGATCTTTACCTCGCCGCTTTGCGGCTCGGTATCCACCACTAACCACCTCCACTTTGGTGAATAGTTGTTAATTATACAGTTTTCAAGTGTATCCATAATATTTTACTTTAACCTTATCATTTTCCCCCTCCACTGCTTTTAACAGGTTGGGAGCATGGGAATTGCTCTTATTAAGAAATCGTAAACACCTCAGTGTACACTATCGAGTGAAGGATGCATGCAGGAGGTTGCTAAGCACGAAAGAAGTGTAAGGGTCACGCAACATGATGGCTGAGAGGGACTCTAGCTTCTTGAGTGCATAGCAAACCTAAATCATTATGGTACATTATGGTGTTTACAATTTGTTTTACATTGTAACACTGATACATTGTAGCAAAAGAGTTCCCTTTTAGTTAAAAAAATCTTGTGTGAGCAGAAAACACAAGCATGTGGAAACTAGTCATTGCATTTGCTCAGATCAGCAGGATACACCCATGGGCAAATGGTCGATACTGGATTGACCAATCATAGTGTGTGCTTTGCTTTGGTTATGTTACAATGAGGCAGGAAACTTGATTTGTACTACACTTCCCTTTGTAGTTTCATTTCTGTGGGTCCAAATAAAATCTGAAAAGACTACAGTTGTAGACCTTTAACAATATAGATTGGATTACCCAGGGGTTTCATTAAATGCTGGTTACTAGCAGTCTTTTGTCACTAATAAGACCTCTTTCCACTGTCTATTTAGCTTGTGAGCAAGTTCTTGTATTTGAATTTAGCATTATTGCCCCTTTCTGGTCATGACCACCGATTAATCCATTTGCAACTGCTTATGCAACCGCCTTCTGGTTAGCTCAATGGATAGAGCGCTGGACTGTTGTGTGGGAGGTCGAGGGTTCGAGCCCTGGCCGGACCAACACTCAGGGTCTTAAAATAATTGAGAAGAATTTGCTGCCTTTCTATAACATCAAGAAATGGTTAGATATTCTAGTCTTCTCAGATAGGGACAAATAAGTGGAGGTCCTGTCTCCTGCAGGGTTAGGGGCAGGAGACGTTAATTTCCCACGCATGAGATTACTCTGTGATGAATGTCCTCCCCTGGGGTGGGATGGGTGGGTAACTGGACCCCCGTTGATACCTGTGTTTACTACACTGAAGGGGCTATCCTATATAAATAAAGATGTCTACTCTACTCTTATGGAAAAAGTTTTGAAAACCTTTGAGTACATTTTCCAAATTGAAGGGTTCAGATAAAATCTCCCTTTAATGGTCCTTGCACCTTTTTTTGTTGTTGTCCTCCTTGATAAATAGTTTTTATTGTTCTTTAAATGAAGGGCTGCTAAACAACTTAAAAACAGTAATGCACAGCAGCTGGAAATTGAAACACTGAAAATGGAAGAAAGGATACGTGCATTAAAAGAACAAATGTTTAAAGAAAAAGAGGAAAGAGAGTAAGTTTTGATTGCTTATCATGCATGTAATAGTGTGCCTTTAATCACACTGCCCTGTACTTATCGAAAGGATGATAAACACCCATTATTTTAGAGAAGAAAGTAAGCCTCTATCTTAAGACAAGCACATTTTAAAATAAACAGTTACAAAAATTCGAAGTATAGGATTTCTTCTCATTATAATTCGTGGCTCTAAAGTTTGCGGACTGTATTTGACTTCAGTACACAAATGTTTGGCCAACCCTTTAACCCCCAAAGAGTGTGTAGCTTTTAATTTCCCCAAGGTTACAATATCTCCCCCAATCACACATGAAGGTCACAAGAATAAAGAAATGATCATCAACTAATGAAGCTCTTGATTGTTAAACAAATTCTCCTTGTCAGCACCTTAGGAAATGTATAGAGGAAAGAATGGAGAATATACATACTGATGTTAGGGTGTAAGGGGTTATTCCACACAAAAGTCATGCAACTGTGGAATTTGTGTTATATTTGAAATTACTTCAACTAGTCATCTCGAGGGAACTCCATCATTTGAAATTTTTGCTTTTTTGAGATATTTAATTTTCAGGTTTGCCCAATAATTCCCCTTTTAAAACAAAGATTTGGTGAATTCCTTGGAAAGAATACATAAACCACAACATACACTTCAATATTATTTCATTAAGAACAGGAATGTATAAGTGCTATAAAAGTTATGTCATTGATATTATAAATATTAAAGAAATTCCTTTTTTTTGCACAGAAAGCAAGGTGGTATAAGATGGGCATCAGGAAAATCAGGACCACTTAATAGTCATGCGCAAGATGTGCTAAAGAAAAAGAACGCAAAAACTGATAAAGTAGGTTATTGGAATCTCTTAAGAAATTATTCAGGACAAACATTTGGTTAATAGAGGTTCATTTTTGTAGTTGATCGATTTAACACATGAATAAGTATAAATTTTGCTACAATAAGAGCCCAAATATGCCATACAGACAAATCCCATTTGGAGAGAAACTGTTGTAAAGAGATAGGGATGTAATATAATGTTTTATGTTTAGAAGGGTTGAGAGTTTGAAATAAGACTGAATGGGGATTGTCTCCCTTGAAAAAGTTAGAACTTTTGTAGGGAAATGGCCATTGCAGAGTAGGGCCATTTTTAATTTCCTTTTTTTTAATATTTGTTTGTTGACAGACTCCAAAGAAAATAAAGATTCTTGGGGATGAACCTTTACGTAAGTATGGTCTAAACTTGACTTCCTAGGGCATCTGTTTATCAAAGTCTCAATTATCAACAAAAGCTTTACTACTTTTTTGACTTGCTTATAAATATAGTGTGTTTTTCTCTAAACTTCAGACTCTTACAAGAAGAAAGTAACTCCAAGAGTCCAGCCACAAGACAACCTGGCCACATCAGGGTGTGGTCAGTGTGAAAGGACAAAGGCAACTTTGGTATGTAACTTTCTTTCTTTCTTTAAAATTTCACTCTACCTCTTGGGAAGTGTTGTCTTTTTTTTGATAAGTGCCTATTGTAGCAGTGTTTGCTATGACAATATTATTTTATTTGCTGCAATAATTTCCTGGTGAGTTTTCAAGGGCTCTCAAGATTTATGTCACATGATACCTGTTGAAAAATCTATGTGAAAGGGTTTAATTGTTCTGTGTGATTTATTTTGTAGGTCTGCATTGAATGTGAGGAAAAGTATTGTGTTAGCTGCTTTATGTCATTCCATCAAAAGGGGGCTCTCACCAAACACACCACACAATCGATTGAACAGGTACAGTACCATTGTAATAATGATAATGAAGTATTTCTATAGTGCCATATCCATTATTTCATGATGCTTTACTTAACAAATAGTAAACACCACAGCGTACACCATTGAGTTATGGTTGCACACGGGAGGTTGCTGAGCACAAAAGAAGCGCAAGAGTCGCTCGAGGCAATAGCCGAGAGCGACTCTAGCTTCTTGAGTGCTTAGCAAACCTCCTAAGTGCATCCATAACTCAATAGTGTATGCTGTGGTGTTTACCATTTGTTTTATAACATAGCATTGATACATTGTAGCTAAAGAGTTCCCTTTTATTTGACAAATCTTACATGACCAGAAAAAAACAAGCGCGCGCGGAAAAATAGTCTTTGCATTTGCTCACGTCAGCAGCGTACACCCATGGGCAAATGCGCTCTGATTGACCAATCAGAGCGCATGCTTTACTTTGGTTATGTTATAAAACACTTTGGGGGAATTTAGCCACACTGAATTGATTAGTTTACAATTTTTAGAGAAAACTTCTACTGATGCCCCCAATTTCAGAATCAAAATCCAAGCCAGATCACAACACCAGGAGCTGCATTCCCAACTCTTTGCAATAAGTGTGTGGTTTCTTTAATGTCCCCTACTAACCTGTACTGAGGAGATGCAGCAGACAGGGCCAACAATTTTTTCATCCTTATCCGAGAACTAGAATACCTTAGCATTTGTAGAATTCATCCAA